TCGGGCCAATAGTGCCCCACCAAGACATTGGTGGCTGGGGGGGGGGGGTAAGAAAACATTCCCAGTGGCAACAGTCATGTTGTAATCCATTTTCAACCCCTTCTATACAGGATTTTGGGTATACCCACATCATTACCTTGAGCCACCAGATACAGGACTCCCAACAGTCACCCATGTGGGATCGGTAAGCTTTAACCACCATGCCATGAGCTAACCCTGGGCAAATGACTAAGTCTAAGGGAAGACCACTCAATTTATAGTCATGTATTAAAGTTGGTTCTTCTGTAGACACCCTCCCCTGAATCACTCCCACCTTTTGACTTTTTAAAGATTAATTCATCCATTCATTCATATTAACTTGACCAGAGAGACATGCGGAGAGAGGAAAGTGTGAAAGCAAGGCATCAGGCCCAGGACTCGAACCACGGTCGGCCATGTGGGAGAGTCCAGCGCCTAAACCACCACGCTACCTGCTGATCCCCACCTCTTTGACTTTTAATGTTCCAAAAATCTTCCCATTCTGTTACTGAACACACCACTTCCAAACTAAATCATTAAGTCAACAGGAAAGTCATATTTATCCTGCAAAAAAATGCATGACTTTCCAAATGACCTAATATATGTATTTAATTTTAACTGAACATTATTTACTTATGTATTCATGCCCTTAACACCACCTGCAGGCCCCAACCCAATATATTTAAAGTCAGCAACAAACCCTGCCCAACCCAAAACCTTAACACTAAACCAAAAAATCCACACTATTTTGGAATGCAACAGCTTTATTGAAAGAAAAGTGCAATGAAATTTGTTGAAAGCTTTTGAAAGGAGGAAACTCAGACACCTCCCCTCAAGCGCAGGACTAAGTGCAGAGTTGACTCTTTCTGGATGTTGTAGTCAGACAGGGTGCGCCCATCTTCCAGTTGTTTCCCAGCAAAGATCAACCTCTGCTGGTCAGGAGGGATACCTTCCTTGTCTTGGATCTTCGCCTTGACGTTCTCAATGGTGTCACTGGGCTCCACCTCGAGGGTGATGGTCTTGCCAGTCAGGGTCTTCACGAAGATCTGCATCCCACCTCGGAGACGGAGTACCAGGTGCAGGGTGGACTCCTTCTGGATGTTGTAGTCGGACAGGGGGCGTCCATCTTCCAGCTGTTTCCCGGCAAAGATCAACCTCTGCTGGTCAGGAGGGATACCTTCCTTGTCTTGGATCTTCGCCTTGACGTTCTCAATGGTGTCACTGGGCTCCACCTCGAGGGTGATGGTCTTGCCAGTCAGGGTCTTCACGAAGATCTGCATCCCACCTCGGAGACGGAGTACCAGGTGCAGGGTGGACTCCTTCTGGATGTTGTAGTCGGACAGGGGGCGTCCATCTTCCAGCTGTTTCCCGGCAAAGATCAACCTCTGCTGGTCAGGAGGGATACCTTCCTTGTCTTGGATCTTCGCCTTGACGTTCTCAATGGTGTCACTGGGCTCCACCTCGAGGGTGATGGTCTTGCCAGTCAGGGTCTTCACGAAGATCTGCATCCCACCTCGGAGACGGAGTACCAGGTGCAGGGTGGACTCCTTCTGGATGTTGTAGTCGGACAGGGGGCGTCCATCTTCCAGCTGTTTCCCGGCAAAGATCAACCTCTGCTGGTCAGGAGGGATACCTTCCTTGTCTTGGATCTTCGCCTTGACGTTCTCAATGGTGTCACTGGGCTCCACCTCGAGGGTGATGGTCTTGCCAGTCAGGGTCTTCACGAAGATCTGCATCCCACCTCGGAGACGGAGTACCAGGTGCAGGGTGGACTCCTTCTGGATGTTGTAGTCGGACAGGGGGCGTCCATCTTCCAGCTGTTTCCCGGCAAAGATCAACCTCTGCTGGTCAGGAGGGATACCTTCCTTGTCTTGGATCTTCGCCTTGACGTTCTCAATGGTGTCACTGGGCTCCACCTCGAGGGTGATGGTCTTGCCAGTCAGGGTCTTCACGAAGATCTGCATCCCACCTCGGAGACGGAGTACCAGGTGCAGGGTGGACTCCTTCTGGATGTTGTAGTCGGACAGGGGGCGTCCATCTTCCAGCTGTTTCCCGGCAAAGATCAACCTCTGCTGGTCAGGAGGGATACCTTCCTTGTCTTGGATCTTCGCCTTGACGTTCTCAATGGTGTCACTGGGCTCCACCTCGAGGGTGATGGTCTTGCCAGTCAGGGTCTTCACGAAGATCTGCATCCCACCTCGGAGACGGAGTACCAGGTGCAGGGTGGACTCCTTCTGGATGTTGTAGTCGGACAGGGGGCGTCCATCTTCCAGCTGTTTCCCGGCAAAGATCAACCTCTGCTGGTCAGGAGGGATACCTTCCTTGTCTTGGATCTTCGCCTTGACGTTCTCAATGGTGTCACTGGGCTCGACCTCGAGGGTGATGGTCTTGCCAGTTAGGGTCTTTACGAAGATCTGCATTATCTGTTACAACATAAAAGACAACAAAAAAAAAACCCACCCAAGCATTTAGTAAACAATTTGCTAGGGTTACTAATCCCAGTTCAATGTCATTCCATAATGACCCAAACAATTAGGATATAATTAGCTAAGAAACTTCACAAAATACCCCCAATAGTAGTATTACATTACCTCAAAACCTAGGCTTCACCACTTAAAAGAAATAGCTAGGAAACCTGACCAAAATATACTCAGGGCTTCACTTATCTTCCCCGCCAGCAGTGGATGTCTGGCCCCTGTCAAATCAGTAATGCCCACCCATTCCCAAACCCTGTGTCCCGCGGCTGAAGAAAATTCTACGCACAAACGGAAAAGTGGCCCCACCCTACATTATGAGCCAAGAGAGCGGTGACGTCACAAGATCACGATGGTGTGCCCCACCCCCCCAGAGAGGGCAACGGCTAAAGGGCATCGCCAGTGAACAAAGTCCCCTCCCCCTCCCCGCGCCAGAAAAACCGACATCTCGTCAGTCGAGGCGCGATACACAAACTTCTCGTCAGAGTCCCCGAACACCGACTAGACCCCCTAAAACCTCGCTCTCTAGTCACTACTAAGACCTCAGAGTCCTTTCGTTTTCTTTTCGACCACCATTTTCCCCCTCTCCCGCCTCACAGCCCACTTCGTGGTCGGGTTTCCACCAACTCGGGCTCGCAAGCGGCCGCCATCTTGCTGCGTTCCTCCCCCTCAGATCCACCTGGGTCGCCGGCCCCGGGGGACTGAGGGCCTCAGTTTCCCGCGGCCGGCAGCTATGCCCCCCTCCTCCCTCACGGCCTGAGGGGCACTACGCCCCAGGCCAGCGCGACAATCCTCTTACCAAGCAACGGTGTCAGCAGCGGACGTAAGTGAACAGCAACCGAACTCCCGGCCTCGGCGGAACTAGCTGCGCCACGCCCGGCGCGCCCTTATATAGGCTGCGCTGCCCGCCGCCCCGGAGAGATCCCTGCGCAGAAACGCCGAGAAGGGACTACTTTTCTCAGCCCCTTCCGGTCCCCGGAGAGAAAGCGAGTTTCCCAAATCACTCAGTTTTGTTCCTAAAACGCTCTCCGGGTGGGACTCGGGCTTGGGAGGCGACAGCGGCCGGGGCTGGACGGCCGTCCGGGGCGGCCCGGCGGAAGGATCCGCGCGCTCGCTGAGCGCTGCGTCCGGGACGTGGCGGCGCTGGGGGCGGGGCGC